AAAGAGAGTGAAGTATTCTTGAGGTTGAAAAAGATGTACACACTCCCAGGTCTGGGAATCTGTAAATAAACTGGTTATCCGGTAAAATATAGATTTCCATTTGACGGGCCTGTTGGTCTAGATGTTAGTGATCCTGACTGCTAAACCGGAAGTCGTAGGTTCGATTCCCACCCAGAATAAATATTGTGTGATGAGCGCGGTCATTTGTTCTGTGTTGTGATGTAATTTATCTACAATATGCATCCATTTAAAAATATATCAGTAAGTTTATCAGCAGTCTGGTTACCATAGCACAGGCTCTGCCTAGTTTGGAATCAGACGGCAGTGTCTGAAATGTGTGAGAAATATTATATATTACTATTATTTCTTAAGCCTTGAAGTCTTGGCTACTTGATCTCTAAGACAGTGTTGATTAAAGGAATTCATTGTTTTTCTTTTCTTTTTAACTTTCTTTATTAACAAAGAAAAATATCACATACAGATACATCATTGATTACGATTTTTGGAATCAATTGACAACTATCTAAAGTCGAACTAAGTGTAACTCGTATTTTGACTATCAGCAACCAGTCCTCAATATACTATACAGTTATAGTTAGGAAAATATCCAGATCAGACTTAGTTACACAATAATTGATAATCAATTATTATCATAATTATAAACTCTACTGGCTCTCGACTCAAAAGGCATGCTATCGGTGGAAAGTTATTAAGTTATAAAGTCGTAAAATTTGTCTGTCACCGCTTCAAGATTTACCGTACAACTACTCGGTAAACGAAGTGACTCACGGATACAGCCCTTTACGTACATAAATACGCAAGTCTTTACTTTTTACAATGTCTTATAAACATTGAAAGAGGGGAAGTTAGTCCTAATAGGTTTTAAATAAGTATGTGCTTAAATAAAACCTTTGTTCATTTATGTTGGTGATTTCCCAGCTTGTATGTAACGTTAGCAGAACTTTATCTGGTGTACGTTTTCTACTTTTCGTGTTATTTCGGTTTATATTATTACGAGCGTTAAGAGTACTTCGAATTTAAAAACTGATAAAGCAATTTTCCTTGGCTTGTTTACAAGATTAAGTACTCCCGAAATCTTTTCATTGAAGTCATCTTTACCGCGCTCTAGGGTTAACAACCGCACTCAAATATATTGACACAAAGTGGCTTATTGTCATGCCTTTCTCAGACAAACAAAATTAAGAGAGGGACTTTATTTATTTAGTTAATGCTTTATGCACAAATTTTTTTACAAAGGTGGACTTCGTGTTATTGGCATTCTCTGCACTAATCTTAACTAGTTAATAAACTTAATAGTTGTTTTTAAAGGAAATAAATAAATAAACAACTGTGGAAACTTCTAATTTTTTTTAAATTGCAAAATTTCTTATCTGAAGCAGTGGTTACGTTTTTGAATAAAGTCAAATTAATAGTAGAAAATTCTAAATGTAGCAAAAACCTTGCACTAAATATTTCTTTTATATATTATATCGTTCAAAACGAAAAAAAACTTTAAACTTTATCTTTTTATTTACATGTACAAATATAGGTCACAATGTACAAACCACGTCAAAGACATAGAACGAAGTAGTACGAAGAAGTAGTCGTTCGGTTGTAGCACTAACATCTCACCTTGGTGAAACTAAGGTTCAAGAATATTTTTTTTTTTACATTTAATTTTACACTAATAAAGATCGTATTTTATAGGATATTTTAAAGACAATATATATATGAGCACATGTATTAGTCTGTAGTGGAAAAGCCGTGTTTCAGCTCATATCATCCGGCTCGATCTGGGTCATACAATGGGCTCACAAAAAACCGGTGTTAAGCATTTCTTTCCTTATCTTTCACTAGTTAGAGGATATTGAAGCCCAACCGGTGGGAGCCTCTCCTATTCTGACAGGAATGGGCAGCCACAGGTCTTGAGTGAGAGCCACTCTTGTGTGTCTTGAGTTACATGTATCCATAGGTGGCGATAGTCACTTACCATCAGTGCCCCGAGCACGAATAACTTGCGAAAAAGTATTCTTATCGTCTTCGACAAAATTTGTATGACATTTGTGCAGCGCCCCTATCGTGCGTAAAAGTAACTAATTTTGGCAGCACGAACGTTTCGAATTTACTTTCGTATCGTAAACGTATCGTCAAGCATTCGATACGTTACACTTTATAAAGAAAATTGGCAGCACGAATGAAATTTTGACGTACGTTCGAAGGCTGGCTATCGAGCACCTGTCGAGCTTAGTCGAATGTTTATTCACTAAAGATTTGACGGTGAGAAAAGTTTCGAAACAATCAATTTCTTTTAAAACTATTATTTTCAAGTATTAACGGTTAATTTTTTGTAGAGATAAAATGCAAAGACCGCCGCTTTAGTCCTATGTATGTTCTTGTCGCAAGTTTAATTGAAAATAAGGGTAATTCAACAACTAGATTCGAGGTAAGCAAATCTTGTTTTATCTATAAAGTGTAAACTAAATATTTGTCAGAAACATTTGAAGAAACTTCTACTATATTAATAAAATGTAGTATACTTAGTATGTACCTATATATATTAATTTAATTAATATTTTTTTAGTGAAATAAGGCGAAGAGATAAACAAAGGAAGACAAAAGTCAAGAAAAATCTGTCTGTTTGTAATATAAAATTATAGGTTTTTTTAATGCTCACACGGTTTTTTGCAAGATACCTATGCCTAAAAACCAGTATAAATATTTTTTGTCTGTCTGTTTGTTCGGGTAATCTTCAAAACCTCTGGACCGATTTTGATAATATTTTACTACCAGGTAGCTGTCTATATAAGGATTTATTTGGCTAAAAAAATTGTCCGGTCGGGGAATCGAACCCACGAAGGTGGCGCTTTTTAAATTCTACGCAAAGGAAGTTTCGGGCACCAACTAGTTCTTTAAATATAAATGACAACGAATTTCAAAATATATCGCTTTTAGCTAAGAAGTAGTTTGACTTAACCAACGAAATAACTAAAAATGGTTATTTCGTTGCGTTGTATGCCGTGGAAGAGGGTGTGAGGGGTATACCAGCTAAATCCCTCTATAACCTGTTTAAAGACCTTGGATTTCTCCAGTAAGCTTTTTCCTTGAACAAATATCCAAAGCGGCATTGCTAGGCTCGTACCAAATTTGGTTACATAGAGGGGTTACACAGCAGACAGGGATGAAAGGCATATAGTAAAAAATGAGCTAGTGTGAATATTTTTTATTTACCATAATTTTAAAAGGAATTACACAGAGTTGGTTTTTATACATTACATACTTACATGTTATTTACAGAGAACATTATTTACTTTGAAAAAATTATATGTCTAGTTAATAATTTTAATTTTATTTCACACGATTACGATTCTATTAACGGTTAAAATATCATTGCTTGTTTTGAGTTTTTTTTTTCTTAAGGAGGCTTCCACTCCTCTGCCACTGTGGTGACTGGAGAAGACTGAGAATGAATCTCAGGTGCTGGTAAAGGAGAAGCCACAGTCGGTTGGCTGCTTGAGCACGCAGTAAATATACAACTTTCATTTGTGTGGCAGTGACGCGGCAGTCGTCGTCCGAGCAGCACACGAATAAAAGTTGCACAACTGAGTTGAACTATCTATAATATTTTCAGACATCTGACACACAACACCATCGAGTTTCAAACTAAGCAGAACTTGTACTATGATACCTAGATTGACTGATATGAGACATTAGTTGTCCCTGGTATGTTTATCTGTAGGATTGCTGTGGTGGTGTTCAAGTAACATTTATAAAGTAACAGATGTTATCTATATTTACAATTGAAACTTTATTTTAATGTCAAGTAGCAGTGTAAGTCTCATAACAACGAGAAATTGAATTATAAATAATATTAAATTTACCATATTCTCAAACATCACATCGTTATTTTACATTACAGTACATTCAGTATTGCAAATAGTAAATTTAATAAACACTCACCTTTCAAGAAATTCCACCATAGCCACGTATTGTAAATGGCTTGTTCGCACTGACTTTTTTGACGTTGCGAACACGTCTTCGTCTGTGCTATTCAACAGTTCGATTTCTTGTGGCACGACATACAGTGGTTTATTTTAAATAACACAACGATCTAGTGGTATACGACTTAGCTATTATTAGAAGCTTGGATTTTTGTCACAATCGACAGCCAACACGACGTAATAATACAATTAATATTTTCTATAAAATGCTTCTTAAAGTTTCAAGGTTTACAAATCATCTTAAACTTGGTGATGAATTTACAATAAAAATAATAAACAATTTATTGACATAGCGTCGTAGCCATGTCAATAAATTGTCAAGCGGAGACGTGTTTTTCAGAAACCGAAAAAAATGACAAAATAATTGTTTTAATTTCCCAATACTACATTTTAAAATGTCCCATACCTCATTTAAGATTTACTATGTGTTTATATAAGTATATTTTGTTTTAATTGTCAATAAATAGGTAGTTTAACCGAAAGTAATAAAAAGTTCACTATTTCATTATGTTTTTGAACGTATAGTTCATTCAATAAGATGTTGAATTCGTTCTTAAGTGCTCATCCTTATTTACGTGAAGATGACGTCACTAACGTAATCGTATCGAGCTCTCGATACCTTAACGTTAGTGCTTCGTGCTACCGCCTATCGTAAAACTCCGTAAACGTATCGAGGACTCGATACGTTTACGATACGCATTCGAAAATTTTTCGTGCTCGAGGCACAGGTGACTTGGGCAATAGTAATTGTGGAGTTTTCAATGTGCCTTAATAATTACCTTGGTCAATTGATTCGGGTGTTGCTTAAGAAAGGTACATTTTTGATTAAAGTGTACTTAAAGTGTACCCATTTTAATTTTCTGTATCCTCGACAACATGTAAACACTATTTTATGATGGTTGATTAAGTAGTTAAGGCATAACTAACCAATATAACCAAATGAATCCAATGTATTTTAAAAGATTCAAATGTTTGAATTAAAAACAAATTTTTCTATTACAGGTCACAGAAGAAGAACTACAACCACATCCCCAACTCCAACAACAATAACATATACAACAATAAAAGGAGAAGAAATAACTGAAGTGACGACAACAACAGAATATATACTTACAACACACCCCAAACTACCTAAGCCACTTCGACTTTCGTCATTATTAGATAAAGAATATAATGAAGATGTACATACCGTAGATAATATTATTGATGAAGTTATTGTAGGTAGAGGAAGACACTCCAAACGCGATAAGATAACAGATAAAGAAATAATAGAAGAATTACATGAAACATCACTAGCTAAGACTATGAATAAAGTTAAGAAAATGTACAGAGATTCCACAGCTTCAAACGTAAATAAATTAAGTGGAAAAGGCACAAAAGCTGGTATATTTTTAACTGAAAACTGTACCACAGTTATAGCTCAAATAGGAACCACTGCAATACTTCACTGTGAAGTTAGTGACATCACTGAAAATACGGTAAGTTTAACATTAATAGATATAGACTAACTTAGTATTAATCACAAGGTGCTACAGTGCTAAAGGTCAAATATTCTAAAATAAAAATCCAATTTCCTGACTACACCAAATTTACAATTTTTTATTTTTATGTACTTTAATTTTAATTGAAAAGTGTACTCATCGGTACTTCCTTTAGCTAAAGCTCATCTTGATATTAAATATGTTTTATTGAATCCACTCTTTTGCTATTTACTTAAATAAATAATAATTCCTTAAAAAGTTATTTTAAAGAAACCGCCAACAAACATAGAACTTCAGTCATAATTTCCTCGCATGACTTCAAAGCTCCGACGAAAGTGTCTGTTTTTCTCTTACAGTGGAAATTACGGACTAAATATTCTAAAACATGTATAGCTGGTTTAAAAACGATGTGAAAGATATACTTGACCGTTTACACAAAAGTACCTTTTCAGTAAACAAGTAATGTCGTGTTTGAGATTTTGGTGAGTTAGAAAACTTTTGGGCTTTGCTGAGCTAATATAAATTTAAACAGAAACATTTATTTTAGATCCTCCTGCAAAAAATATATAATTTTCAAGACAAAGGTTGATATTGATCTTCAGTTCATTTCTAACAGAATGACCATCTATTGTAAGACTATTGTATTTGCAACTGTGACAAGTACAATACCTGTTTTAAAATTAAACAACCTTTGTGTCAGTAACAGACTGATATTAAATATCTTTTTTTCGTAAAAAAAATTAACAAAATTTATTTTGACTTCATTGAACTTCAATCTAATCTAACTTGTATTGATAACATCGTGGCATAACAATGAATAATTTATTCATTGTATATTATATATTTAAATTAATTATTACGCTATGTAACATAATTTTACATGTTTTGCAGTTTTGATATATGACTAAAATCCCTTTCGTTTTTCTTTCTTATATTACTCCCGGTATTATGAAATGCAACAACTTTTAGCAGAGTAAACCAACTGATTTTAATTTCATAGACAATATATTTCACTCAAATCTTTACAATTTTCTTACTTAATTTCTTTAAAAAGCTTGGAATTTTACCAGTAATTTGTCTTCAAAGAAACAGAGAGATAATTCTTTGTTTAGAGTTGCAATTTTTTTTTAAATGTATTACGACATCTTTAGCTTCACATTTAAAATATACAACCCAATTAAAACATTGAAGTAGAGTTACGGTTTAAATAATCATTTGTTACCTAACACTCAGACGGACTGTTTTGCATTCAATCCCCACTGGGACGACTGTATGAAAATATATACTTTGTGCCCTCTATTTGCATATTTTGTCGAAACCCTTGCTATACACACATAATTGCCTCTAGCACTGAAATACTCTTAAAACATATTACAGAATAAATAGTAAACAAAAATTGAACGTTATAATCCTGGTCTTTGTCTATGCAGTATTGGCTTAGCAAAGCAATTCATTCAAATAATAAGTTTTATATGAAAATATAGTGTATCATTAAATAGTTTTCCAACCATAATAGCCGAAGCATTTTGTGATTAAAAAATAATAGGGTTCACAAAGCAATCAATCTACTTAAATGCTAACTTTGAAAGAAAATTACTATACTTATTTCTGTTATTTTATAGCACCGACTTCAATGTTCATGTTGCTTTTAACCTTTCTAATCCTCTATCGCTGTAATTTGAAATAAAATATTATGGAAATTATGTCTTGATTTCATCACAGTCAATCATCAACAGCCTTTAATAGTCCACTGCTGGACATAGGCCTCAGGTAAGAACCTTTTGGCCTATTATAAAACGCTGGCCAGACGAAGTTTTCCTTCTTAGTAGGGCTCTTTCAATACCCGCGGGATGAGTAGGGGCGCTGACACTCCTAGTGGTATTCTTAATCCAACACCATACGGTATTGTCCTGATTTACAAAAGATTATTCATTCTTCAGAAAGACAACCTTCATTCCTAATAACCTTATAGTATTTATTAAGGATCGACAGGTTTATTTAAGTTTGTGTTTCGGGGTATTCGACTTATTTCTATTAGTTAAAGTTATTAAGCAGCCTTCCACAGAAAGCCACATAAAAGACATTTTACTAAAACCGCATTTTGTTTATAAATGTTATGGATTCCACAAGCTTTGAGATGAAATAATCGCCTAATATTGTTCAAAGAAATCGAAGACCTCACTTATAAGCTTAACTATGAAGTGATTCTTGATAAGATAATAGGCAATAGCATATAGATAAGTCTCGTTTGGGACCCTTCAGATCGTCGATAACCGCGAATTTAAAAGAAGTCAATGACAATCAATTATTCTGGAAGATGAACATAAAATATCCACTAGTTTATAAAACAGACTAAATAGAAATCTTGGGCGTTGAGAGTTATCTGATAACTAAAGCAGAATTGCATTTAATCATTCTTTTCAGATTGATAGATGAAATGTGGGAAAATTTATAGAACTCTATACTAAAATGAGTTGCTCAAATCATTTGTTTCATATTTGCTGTAAATTTGGCAACGATTATGTTAAATTGTTACATGGCCTGAATATATCTTGACCATTTATAGGTGTAATTACAATCAAAACTGGACGTAACATATGCTTGTTGCAAGTATAGCAGTATATATATACACTACAATACTACAGTATTGTATGTAAGAATAGCACATTTGTACTTGAATTTCAGAATGTATGTTATTGTGCACAGGTGACGTGGATAAGAAGAAAGGACTATTCGCTGCTATCAGTTGGGCTGGTGACGTACAGCGCTGACAGCCGATTTTTCTCAGCGCATGGACGGCACGTTAAGGTAAGATTTATTTGATGAACCTGGATATTAGTTTCAATATACAACGCTTCCTAAGTTGTCTCTAGCAAAAATAAAACGTCAAATTGTAGAACAATTTGTTAAAATAAAGTGATAAAAAATCCTATTTTATTAGCTTTTAAATATATTGAATTAAGTGACATTTGGTACTTAAAGTAAATAATGGTTTTATTAATTATTAACTTTCCTAAATGTTTCATCATCTTAAATGCACCTATATTATCATCATCATTATCAACAGTCTATAATAGTCCACTGCTAGATATAGGCCTTTCCTTAGAAAGGTGGTTCTGGCCTACTATACCACGCTAACTAGACGGGTTGGTATAAGGTTTGTTCAAGTTTTCCAACTCTTTACAGTGCTGTTGTCATGCGTAGTTTGCTCCCTTAAACGGATCTTACGACTCACGGGATGTATAAGGGGGGTAATGACACTCCATATTCTTAATCCGTCACCACATTCTTAATATCACCACACCTATATCATGCAATAAACTGTTCTTCAATTTGCCACCCTTTGAAGTGGCACTTTTAAAAAAAATTAACGCACTAAAGGAGAGATATAACCCTTTTCAAACAAAAAAAGAATTAATTCAAACTTCCATGTCCATTTTACTTAATAAGTTACTAATATAAATGGCGTCAAGTTATTATGAGGGTCATGATCACGAATGAACTCAGTTCAACCTTGATCATGGCGCATATAACAGTGTCGTATCGGAAACTCATTCGCGAAAATAAACATGGTAATATCGCATTTATGATAACTCATCAAAAAAATAAAAAGATCCAAAACGGTTTATAAATGTCGGAAAGACCGGCGAACGCGCTTGTAACGCCTGAGTACCAGGTTGTCAAGAGTGGAGGTAGTTACTTTCCATCAGGTGACCGGTCTCATTTGCCTTGTCTTCCATAGAAAAAAGAAAACAAACATAAAAAAATCAATCAAATTAAGAACCGTCCTTTTTTTTAAGTCACATGAATATTATAACTATGAGTCACATATATCAAGATTTTAGTAACATAAATCGTTAAAATATAAGAATAATTCTCTTGATTTCAATAAAGAAATACATTATATCTGAAAATGTGAATGTGGAAATTTACTGCTAAATCTGAATAGAGAGATAGAACTGTCATGAATAGGAAGGTAATAAATTTCAATGATACTGTTAAAATGTATAGAATATACGGATTTATTCCAACACAACCGTGTATAAAATAATGTATTTTACTTACATGTCATTTGCAAACAAATTTTATTTGAAAGTAAATACATGTCATTGTAAAAAAGGAAACTTAAGGAAGTTTCTATAACATATTTAAAAAACGAACGAAATATAACTCTTTGAATTGTTTTAGAATATATACGTATACGTCTATGTATGAAATTTAAGCAACATGATTTAAGATTCTGAAATAAAAAAAAAAACACAAAAAACTTTCTAGAAAACGTTCATCCATCAAATGTTATTAATAAAACTGATCTTTATTAGATGTAATAGAGATCAGTTTTATTAATAACATTTAAAATAGACTACAAATATTTTTCCATTCTTAAGTCTTGGCTAAAACTCCACAGACAACTCTTGAAGTAAGAACAACGAAATAATTAATTATAAGTTAATAAGGAATCAAGGTCGGTGACAATGTATGCGTAAATAAATTGTCCACCGGTTCATCGCCCATTGATCCCTATGAGCAAGTTCACGATAGTAATTAGATTGATAGATAACAGACCGGATTGTCTGCATGTGTTGAGTATACTAACTCTCAATGTAAAACTGGAAAACAAAGGCGTTATTAGAGGCGTTCCTTTAAAATGGTTCAGAAGTTACCTGACGTCACGGAGACAGTGTGTAAGAGTTACTGGCCAACTCAGTGCACCATAATTAATATTTCTGGTGTCACAAGGTAGTTTGTTAGGACTCCTTTTGTTTAATATATACATGGATGACATCCACAAACTATCTCTCTCCAATTCAGAAATGATTTGCTACGCAGATGATACCACTATACTCCTTAAGGGCTCAAACTTCCAAGAAGCATTTGACAGGGCAGAAACTGGAATGTCGACAATAGCGAACTGGCTTAACAACAACCTTCTGACGCTTAATTTAAAAAAAAAAAAAATTCATGTGCTTCCATAAAACTGCCACCTCTGCTCCACCTCTTTCATCCAAACTGAAACTACACACATGTCATAATCCGTCCTCCACTACATGCGCTTGTAGTTACATCGATAGAACTCCTGAAATTAAATACCTTGGAGTCATGGTAGACCAAAAACTTAACTTCCAAACCCACATTAACTCCCTTTCAAACAGAGTAAGAAAAACAACAAATATAATGAGACAACTCAGACCTGACCTATGTCCAGCAGTGGACTAGTATAGGCTGTTGATGTGTCAACTCAGACATGCTGCCTCTCCAGAAACACTTAAAATTACTTACTTTGCACTGTGTCAATCGCTTCTTACCTATTGCATATCCTGTTGGGGCGGAGCAGCCAAGTCACACATGATTCCATTGGAGAGAGCACATCGCGCTGTATTAAAAACAATGCTCAAAAAACCCAGACTATACCCAACCACTAAACTCTATGAGGAAAGTTAACTTTTAAGTGTCCGCAAACTTTTTATATACCATACCATATTACTTGTGCACAAAACAGTTATTTCATCCCCGGAATATAACGATATTACCAGACGTCGCCTTTTTAGACTACATGTACCTGCTTGTCGCACTAAATTTGCCCAACGCTTTCATCCGTTTTTATCAGCCTACATTTATAATAGTACTTCCAAATTCTGTAACATCCGTCTGAATACAGTACCAGAGACAAAAATAAAAACTTATGAATGGTTAAGTAAACTCACATATGAAGAGACAGAAAAGTTATTAACTACTACAGCATAAAACATATTTATATATTCAGTTATTTATAATATTTAGAAGTAAATTTTATTATATGGGTTATATTTGTATATGATTTATATATGGGATTATATATATTATAATATAATTTGTACCTATTTAAAAGGGATCTCGTAATTTTAAGCATAATTTTTAAGTATTTATTTTTGTTGAATTGTCTTATTGTTTTATTTTAGGTAGCTCATGAAGGATTTGTTATTATTACTTTTTCCTGTTATTCTAATTTGTTTCAAATTGTGAAGTGCAGGAGCTCTATACCTTAATGTAAATACGTTTGGCTGGGACCCCACGATACAGGCTTGCCTAGTGTGGGGACCGCGTTAATATTTATCTGATAAGATCTGCTACACTAATTTCATGTCTTGTTAAGTACTCCTGTAATTTATTTTCTTTGTTTCTAAATATATTTTTTTTCATTTTTATTTTTCATTTTCAAATCGTCATGCTATTGACAGTATTCTGAAAATTCGACTTCACGGATGTCGTAGTGTTTTAAGCAGTGACTTCGCCATTTCCTACCATGCTGTTACATGGGACAACACTTTGTGTGATCCACAAATTGTTATTTTAAGTCTGAGTGTTCTTTGGGTCGCTTTTATGAATGTTTGTAAAGGCCCCCGTGACACAGGATATATTCCTGGTGCGGGAGTTGTCTTTTAAAACAAAGACCTCATACTGAAAACTTTTTGTACTATCTTTAACACATTCGGTTTGTACATGCAAGATATATAACGGTTAGGAAAATATTAAATGCTTAATATAACATAATGCTCTCTAATCAGCTACACTTTAAATAAATTATATTTATACGACTCAATTAGAATTGTCATTCTAATTGAGTCGTGAGGTGTCCCTCAGGGCGTTCAATGACCATTTCAACTGCCAGCGGTATTTTCAGCTTTCTATAAAGAATTCAAGCTTTTTATTTATTAGGACCTTTTATAAATATTTTACACGTAGTGGAGAGCGTCTCAAATGTTATTTTAAAGCTGTTAAATGTTTTATCATTTTGATAGTTATAGTTAATACATGCCACATAAAATAATTTAAATACAGGTACTACGTATATTTATGCACTTTTGGTGCATTGGCGGACTTAATGTCTAAAGCATTCTCTATCAGTCAACCTTTGGGTGATGCAGAGAAAACAGGAAGTAGGTGCATTTTGGTTGAAATTAGTTTTATAATAATAATATCAAATACACATACATAAACTTGTCATACACTAGAACCTATACAAATTGTACATAAGTACGTATATGTATATACCTAAATACATACACACTTATATATATTCATACATACGCAAAGAAATACCATTAAATGACATAACATGACAATCATGTATCAGTTGATTCTGCTAGTTTTTTTGTAAGACTGCTTTTACTTTTGCTTTGAATGAGAAAGTGTTGGTGGCCATCCTGACTTCGAGTGCATAAGAAAAGATAAGCCAACAAACTCAGACGTATGGGAGGGACAGCGAAGAAAAAGTTTATTAGAGGACCGAAAGTCTTCGTCGTGATTGTTACCTACAAGTTTGAAGTAGGAATAAATATGTTGGCGAAGATAAGTTGTTTAAGATACCGGATAAGACAGTGAGAGCGCGTAGGCGATATTGGTAGCCAATTGCGCTGCAAACGGAAAGAGGATACATGATCATATTTACAAAGATTATGAACAAATTACACTGTCTATTTTAATAAATCCTTTCTACTACGTAATTGACAAAAAAGTAGAATAAGCACTAGAAATAAAGATATTTTATACATTTTTGAGAATCATCATTACACTGCCAGTAAATAGTAATGACATTAATAAATAAACAATTTTTCCACATTAACTGTATTTATTATTATTATAACGGGTGGTGTAGACGGTAGTACATTTTTTAACAATACTTACTAATATTTTTATAGTATCTATAGCAATACAATGTTGTTGGAAAAGGAACGGACGAACTAAGGACTCGACGAAGTTGGGACCTAGTTCGCGAAGTTCATCTATTAAACCTCTTTTGAACTAGGTCGTTAGTGAACTATACAGCAATATCATTTTACCTAAATAAACTTTCATAAATAATTATTAATGTTTGTTCGCTTTTAAAGACAATTAAAATATAATAATGATAATAGCGTGTGTGGGTGCGCTCGTGAGTACGTCTGTATTTGGGTGTGTGAGGAAGGGAAAATTTAAGAGACAAAAGTTTTACTCTTTTCGCCGCATTTCTAGTTTCAGATGTGACCCAGTTTCAGTGGGTTGCATTAGGTAGGTTCTTTCTGTTCTTCTGTGGAACCTCTCATATTCGTTCTGAGGACCAGCTTTCCCCCAGGATTAAGCTACGCAGACGATACTCTAGTAGTAAACCTATTTTAAAAATCCCTGTAATAATGGAATCAATAAATAAATAAAATAATGGCAAGCTACAATATCAGTTAGTAACATAGGCTAATTTTTATCGCAATAGCCGACAAACACGAGGGCGGACATAGCTGGTAGTAATATACTATGTTCATTGTTCAATGTTTTCAGTATATTCGATCGAACTCAAAATCGAAAAGGCTACATTTCTTAAGCTAAGCTTAAAGGGCGGCAAGCCACTAGCTTCTCTTAAACAACAGGAGTTAATAGGCGGCGGTAATCATTTCTTGCCATCTAGTAACCAGCCCACTTATTTGATCGCCATTTTATAAAATAGATACTTTGTTATTAATAGTACTGTTTACGATCGATGTTCTACAAAACATGTTTTTTTTGTTTCACTTGGAATTCGATAGATGGCGTTGATTCGTTTATGTAAATCACGCTATTAATATGATGCTGTGTAATAAGGTCGTCTATATATGTGATAAATAAAAACCAGCCAGTGCAAAAGATAGATTATGTTTCATTAGCAAACCCTCTAGAGTTAGGGCCTCACATTAGGGCAACGAGTTCAACTTTAAGCTTAGGTAGCTAACAAGCACATCGATAAATAAAAATACTAAGACTTGAAATGGTATTACTATTTTTAAAAGACCACTTAGTAGGACTTATCTATTCTGCCTGGAATCCGTTTATTATAAGGGACAGTACCAAAATAGTATACAGCTATTGCTGTATACTAGGTATTACCAGATCTAATTAAACGAGTACAAAAAAATAACCTTCTAAATATTGCCATCAATTCACATTACCGATCACGTTTGAAACTTCTACCTTGATAAGTTTTTTTCTAATATCCGCTATGATAAAGATATTGCGATGTTAGGTAATCCCTATCTCTGCCTCTCCTAAGTAACTCACACCGCGTTAGAAAGTTGAAGGCTTAATCCTCCATATATTATTTTGTGGTTCCTTCATTAATATTTGTATACCACAGATGTTCCATGAACACTCAGAAAGCGGCATCAAATCAAACGGTTAAAATACAGGCATATACAGAGTTATGCTACCAAGTGCTCAAAGTATCTAGTACTACGAGTATGATGCATACTATATAAATCAAGTTTTTTTAGGTAAAGTGCATCTTTTGTATATTTAATGTGGTTTTCTTATTTCACTTCAATTGGTTAGACGATTCGGATTTACCGCTAATAGCAATATTATCATTTTTTGGAAACCCTCCGTAAATTGAAGGAGACTTACTGGTGGATTTCTCAAGAACCAAGTGTATTATATATATACATATATATGTGTATATATAAATATATGTATGTATTTACAAAAAAAATAATTAAATTTATATTTATGTTAGTTGTCTAGAACCCATAGTACAAGCTCTGTGGGATTGGGACTAGATTACATTGTGTGAATATGGTAGAATATTATTATATAACAGAGAGTAGATGAGATATTTTCAAACTATTATTTTATTTTTTGTTTTAATTGAACTCGTAGACTAATCACCCGATAGCAAGTGATTACCGCCGCCAATGGACTCCTGCAACTCGTGTTGTGGATTCGATCCCAACACGGGACCACAGTGTGTGATCGACGCATTGTTGTTCTGAGTCTGGGTGTTCTTTGTGGCCGTTTCACGTATGTTTGTAAAGACCCCCGCGGCACAGAATACCAGGAGGTGCGGGAGTTGTAGTGTAAAAAGAAAAGACTTACAACTTCGTTGCCAGCCTTAAGTTTTGAGTACGCTCTTTTCTGGAAGGTCTCGAAGCCGTATCTTTTCGATATTTTCTTTTAACATTGATCTGAGAATCTTAAGAGTAAAACAGTGCCCATAAAACGGATGAAATGGCAGTGATTGGCTAGCCTATTTATACGACAGTTACACCTGTACTAGAATGAGGACGAACAAATCGATTTACGTCAAAGTTATAAAAACTGTCGCAGACACTTAACGCAGGTTGAACACGAACGTACGAATGTTATGCAACCTTATGACGAAGCTATTGACAGACAGATTAGCTTATTACCCAACAGAACCCAAGAAAAATACAAACAACTATCCACATACAACCTTTTAATCTTTCTTGTTATATCTAAATATTTGTATGTTTGTCTTCTTTGCATTGATCAGATTGTTCAGATTGTTTTGAAAGTTATAGGAAAAACATATCTATGTATATACTCGTAAGAACGTCAAGCTGGTTTATGGGTGCTTAAAGAAATTGAAAAAAGGTGGAAATGTCGTGTTTTGACATTTGTAAAAAAACATACCTAATATAAAACATAAAAAACAAAATTTGAACTAATTTAATGTGAAATATCAATGTAAAAATAAAAATAATGGTTATGGAAATTACTCTTTAATTAACTGAGTTAGTATAGGGCTAGTAAAATCATCCAACAAAAACAAAAAACAAACAAGCCGAAAATAATTTGAATCTACCTCCACACAAAGTTATCGGACATCATTGTCGTGTGAGTACATAATTACGGACACCCAACTCCATCCACCCTGATTAAAATCATCAACACGGATCCTTTTGCACAAACACTTTTTATATTCAAACAGCTCATGTCATAAACGTTGGGTACAAGCACACTCGACAACCTGGGGAAACACTCGCGATTAAATTAATCTTCATATGTCGATCTCGCTCCTGCCATTTCAAAAGCTACCTACACATTTAAATTTTCCGACTCCATTCTTTGCACAAAAATAATGAGGAGTCGGGTTTTTGAATAAAGTCTTTGTTGACGTTGCGGTAAAATTTAGTTTTGAAAATGTTTTGTAAATTAAAGTAAGAGAGGAATATTCGAGTGTAATCAGAAATGTAATGCTTGGAAATGCTTGGAATTTAAGTATCTACCTTATGATTCTAGTCTCCTTAATATGCAGCGAAAGGCTTAGTTTATTTGTTTAAACGGCCCAATTTTTTGAACTGACTGAATCAGTCAAATTCGAATGACTGATTGATAAAACTTTTTTCCTGTTTGGGCAATAATGTTTAAATTAAAAAATTTCAAAGATTTTCTTAAGAGCGTGTACCAAGGCTTTTTATTTAAAAAGTGTCTAAATACATGATTAATACTATTGATGTTACAATTGTTAAATAGGTTTGTGAATACTAGAAACGAATTCGTAAAGTGCTCAATGTTTGTTCAGCAGCCGTAAGAGATACATGGACTACAAAATGAACAAAACTGTCAATTCAACGCAAGAGAGAATTGGAGTTTAAGAAGACCCATTATTGTAAAATTCTATTGAATTGTTTCTCGTGGTTTATTTCCAAGTCTTCTGTACTCGTGTTTGTGTTGCTTAATTCACTGATTATAACATGGTTCAGTAAATTCCGATTGAAATCGGAAATTGTTTTAGATTTGTTTAGTTACTTCTTTCGTATCTAAGAATTATTGGTGTTTCTCGTTGTTTGTTTTTCATTTCTATCTTTATAGCAATTTTACTATTAGACATTGTCTATATAGAAATAATGCGTCCCTAATGTCCTTGTGAGTATAAAATGTTTCAAGCTTTTGTAGATGAACTGAATATATTTTCCAATTGCATTATTTAATTCAATCGTATTAACTATATTATACGGTACATACCTTTGAATGACCTAACGTTTCGCTCAGGGTTCACTAGCCGCGGTCATAGGCTGACTCTGAGTTACATTATATTAAACACACATATTTTGCATGCATTGGATTCAGCAGCACATACAAAAGAAGCATCCTTTTTTTCATGGTGTGAATATGAGTCAGAGAGTACATAAAAATTGATAAAATTGAGTCGACTTTCTTAATTTCTTCATGATGATAAAATGTGATCAGCAAAAAGTCTAAATTCTAATCCATTAAAAACATTCAACGACCAACAAAACTTGCAAGTACAACCGAAAAACTTATTAAATAAAATACAAAGTAAGCATCAACTTCGTTAAATTAACTGAAACAAAAATTCTAAATCATCTAGGGTATTAAATTGCTAGCGAAGCGGAATATATAGCTTAGAAACTTTCCACCCTTCCAAATGCCTTTTCTTGCAAGCCCTTAATGTGATTTATTTTTACCAGGACTGGGCGTTACACATAAGATTCGCCACGTCAGCAGATGCCGGATACTACGAGTGCCAGGTTCCGACGCACCCGCCTACCAGTATTTTCTTCAAACTTGTTCTCGTTGGTAAGTCCTTTAACGTTGCGTAGAATTCCTTGGCTTACATTTCTGGGAAGTAAAGTTCGTGTTATATTTAATACGAGGAAATGTAAATTAAAGTACAACAGCCTACGAAACAAAGTTAGTGTAGTAGTCAGTGAAGGTGTTTTGAGAGAATACAGATGTTAGATTAGTAAGTAATCATTTGTAAGAACTTTAGGGCTGGGAATTGATTAAATTAATCAAGATAAATGTCAATGCATTTAATTCTTGTTAGCCACAACCTCTAAGTAAAGCCAGTTAATTTATTAATTACCTACGAAGTTGGTATTGTATGACATAAAATTAATATAAACATTGTAAACGTAATGAACAAATTAATGCATATTAAATTCTCATATTTTTATTTTTGTAAAACGTCACATTTTTTATAATTGGTAATGTAATTGTGACACTGTGCAGCATTTTCCCATCAAAATTTTAATTTCATTTTTTTCGTAAAATATGTCTTTAAACTATAACTTTTCAGACCGACAGACTGCGGTAAGCCTACATTTTACAAATACAATTTTTCGAGATATCTGTATATGCGTCAGTATGGTGTATACCCATTCTATCCATTAATGTACCCAACTTTATTTATATTGGAAATGGTAGGATACATCCATTGTACTTTTTATTAACATATATATTTCTTATTTTTAGTTTTTTTATAATGCAATAAAGATTATGTATTTCATTTTTATCAACAGCGGCGTACGCAGAGATTGTAGGTGAATCAGAAAAAATAATCCATGAAGGATCAATGTTGAGGCTGGTGTGCGTGGTGAAGAGGTCTACGGAGCCACCATCATATGTATTTTGGTACTTCGAAAACAGAATGATCAACTATGATTTAAGTAAGTCAATATTTAACTTATTATAACTGGTATTATATCATTTGTTGTTTTTTCGAACTAACATATTGTTTTGATGTATAAATAATAATTAAAACTTCTTTGAACCTATTTATTATACATACATTTCATGTTCACTCACTATAAATAGTCTTGAGGTGTGCGATATCACGAGGCTTAAAGACGCCTTATATAATTTTCCCAAATATATTTTGGGGTCGGCACATTGAGTTTTATTCTTCAACTCTCCGCTGTTACTTGAAAGATCACAACTTACTCCCTTTCTAGTCATATTCTCTGTCACATAGTTTTTTCATTACGAGTATTTTCTGTGCAAAATGGTTATAGATTTTTATTATGGCTGGTCACCTGTCTGACGCCAATCCTCCTAGAGCATGGAATAGTTTCTCGTACAAATACGAGAAAGTAGTTTGAAGCTATATGCTGTTAACCACGTTCTCAAGTCAAGTTTGAAGTAAAAAATTCTAATGATAGAATGTCAAGTTATAACTATTCTGTATTCAATCTATTTTCTTTTTCCATTTGAAACTTACTTGTATTACCGACTACCAGGTATTGGAAACAATTATGAAGTGAAAATTCAAACCAGAACACAACGTACAAAAGAATAACATAAACATGATTGGTTTCTAACTAAAACCTATGACAAACTTTTAATATAGTCTAGTACTTTAAAATATGTAGATTTTTCTTACAAAAATATACTGTACATCTGATCGATATTTTCACAACAAAATGTTATATATAAACTGTATCATATTGTAAGGTAACGGTGAGGAAAATCTTCGGAATACAACCGTCACTTTCACAAGGTTCTACGTTGGAAGTAATCTTTAGAAAGTTACAAACTCCAGTGTTGTCCCCAGAGTATCGCGCTTCGTTTGTAGTCAAGCGAATAAGTAAAGGAAAAACTACTATGGTGTCCTATTTCCCTGGTGATTTAAGCGGTATTGCTTTAGAACAAGACAAGATATTGATTAAAATCCCTTTCGTTGGATAAGCTTAATAAGTTTTTATGTTATATGGGGTTAAAAATCTATGGGTCCTTTGATGATAAGCAACTATCGCCGCCAATGGACACTTGTATCTCAAAAGAGCCAGCCTTGTGTGTGTGTGTATGTGTCCCTCCGGAATAGAACGACGAAAACCCCTCTAGGGTTGATAGGGCCTCCGGAAACCTCACTTACTCTAAATAAATCAACGAAATAATTGTTTAACACCAGTTTACTATGAGGTGGTTGTTTCACTCCGGAGGGTCATATTCCTAGTCACAAACCGACCAAAGCATGGCTCTCCCACGGTAAATCCGTCATATTGCGTTCAAGTTGCTTTTAGATTTTCATTTCTAAAAAACTCATAAGTAGTCATAGCACATAAAAATGGTGAAATATTTTTCCAAAGTAATAAAGGTAAATCTTTTAGCCATTTATTTTATTAACTTATTTTCAGTCGTTTGAGCAGAGTAAGTCAATGAAGCTGCCAAATGGTTCGTTTAATTCTCTATCTCGAGCTTTTTTTATTAAATTATACCTCATCGCTTCAAGAATTGAATATTACTTAACGAGGACTAACGATTTCAGAAAAGTTTTAAAAGAAGCAAGAAATTTAGTATTTGTAGTCAGCTATACTTATTTTCAAGAGGATTGTTAAATAATTTATTTTGACTATAGTAAAAGGCCCTATTATGCCAGTAAGAAAAATTTAAAAAGTATTAGTATTGAAATAAAAACATTCCGTATTATCAGTAGGCTGAATTTGCTGTAATGCTAATTTGCTGTGTACTGTAATGTTTATTTATAATATTTATCTGTTAAGATTTATTTAAGTATGTTTATTTGAAAACTGCCTCGGTGGTGCAGTGGTATCGTATGCGACTGCTGTGCCGAGGTCTTGGGTTCGATGCTCGGGTCGGAAATGTTTGTATGATATGCAAATATTTATTACTTCACCGACATGAAACAGACTAGAAGGGACTATTGCTATTATAATGTTACCCGTTTTATTGAGGTTTTACTTATTATAGTTTTTTTACTTAGGTTTGGAATTTTTTTTAATTTTTAGTGCTCATTGCCAGTTTTGTTAGGACACAGTTCAACTTTTTTTTTAAAGGACGCATTGCTCGCGCACGTATTTACGTGTTGCTTTAGGTTATTTATTAACACTAACTATCAGACCTTCAATTATAATCGATCAAAATTTTATTTAAATCAATCAAATTATTTTTAATAAGTAAGGTAGTTTGTAGTTGCTCCGATATGTGCAATATAAATCTCAGTCATATTACAATTCCATTACATTGATCCCAAACTAGGTAGAGCCTATACTATAATAACCGGACTACTGATAAACATATTTATATATTTCTAAATACATAAATATTATAGATATATTACACTCAGACATATAACTAATGATCGTGCTCATCACACATTATTTGTCCTGGGTGGGAATGGACACCACAACCTCTGGCTTAGCAGTGAAGATCACTAACCACTAGACTTACCCATCCAGAAGTAATCTTCCAGAAGGGTAAGTGTACTGTTGAAGAAAGTCTTGAAATGCGGCCATGTCTTTTATTTTACTTACCGTTCATCACTAACAAAATAGGTACACAGTTTACGTTTTAATGTGTTTTGTATTAAAACGCCTAATAAAGAGTTTATTTGTAACTGTTTTATTAGAGTGATTGACGTCAATGCGTTAAAAATAGTTATCTTAGGGTATTTACGCACTTTGACAAGTAAACGAATGTAAATTAATGATTAGGTACAGTTATTTTTTCAAGATGGGAACACACATAATGTCATGTGAAAGTTTTCCCACGTTTAACGTTTGAGTTGCTGGGTGTTGACACGTTACAGTATAATAGGATTTAGGTCACACACATTTTTTATTATGTAGAGGGCCTCGTATGTCATAAAAAGATTTAGAAAAGCACAGAATGTTTTCCGACCTCCATGAGTACTAGCCTTAGTACTTGGAGTAATGGGTCGGGTTCATTACTCTTGCAGTATACATGAAAATTATTGCTGGTTTTAAATCATAGTCATTTGATGAAATGATAGGTTTTAGAAACAGCGATTACACATGTTAAGATAAATTTAATTAAATTTTGGCATTAAAATCAATCAAATTTTTTTTTTATCGAAGATTACGACCATTATTTTTTTTCAAGATTTAGACGTGTCGTGAGTCATGTGCTAGCGTAATAAAAATAAAAACTTTATTTATATGATAACTTAACCTAGAGAATAAAAATAGATGATAACATAGCATTATATTTCGGTATTATAATCAATGCATTATATTACGTTATAGGATTACAAATAGTAGGAATGCTATCCTTCAAACTAGGACAATCCTGTGTCTTAAAGGACATTGTTACATGACATCATGAAGTAATGAAATTTTTACAATAGAGTAACAGTATACCTGTAATTACAGCGTTAGGATATAAAGGGCGAAATAAGAAAAGTAATAATAATAATTCAGTTGCAATGGTTTTGTAAATCAGTCACCGGGTGTGACGATATAATTTATCACATGTGATTGTGATTTTATTCCATACCTACCTTGCAGAAGGAGGCTTCGGTATGAATAGACCCGCTTGACCATAGTGATAGTGCGTGAGGTTACCGGCGATTGAAACCCCCCTAATCTTTAAGAGGGGCGCTCTAAGGGAGGAAACGCTTTTATGACTCTTCATTTACAGGTATCCATAGGCAGTGGTAGTCACTTACCATCAGATGACCCGTCTGCTCGTTGGCTCCTCCTTGTCATAAAAAAGCATGCACCAGACGGTTTTCAATGCGTTCAGTGCGCCTCGCTAATCTAGATAGATAGAGATGGACTAGGGAGATAGACTCCCGTACTGAACAGTGTATACATATGTATATGTGTGTATATATATGTGTATTTATGTATGTAAATGTGTTTATTCGGGTATATGTATATATTACTGCGTATATTTCGTCGTCGTCTATTCGAAGGACAACTATTGTAGGCTGAATATGAATTCTATCATTCATCCCCATAAGTGCACCTACCTCATTCTTTCCCTGCATCGCCCAATCGGTTGACTGGCAGAGAATGCCTTAAGCATTAAATCCACCGATGTATATATTTATGCATGAAGTTACAAATAAATAAAAATCGCTATTTACTAAACTGACCTTTCACTTTAGCGTTAAATTTGGTGAGACGTTGACTCGTTGGCTTTTCCACGCAATAAAAAAATGTACCCAATGATATTAATGATTTTACACAAACCAGTAATTCATTGCTCTATGATATATTGGAACTATTAAAGTTAATTACATATTAGCCCTAAAACTTAAAAGCATTTAGTCGAATAGAGTTTAAAAACTTTATTTAATTAAAAACCCTCTCTCCCAGAAAATTTTCTTTCTTTACGAAAGTGAGTAAAACTACAGCAGTATTTTTTAGATACTAACTGAATTAATTAGATATTTGTTTAAAACAACCTGTTAATCATCTTGGTTTCTCAAATTAAATCTCCGGCCTCAACTTCACAGGAAGAAAATTCAATGTTATACAAGAGTGCCATTTTATTTATACAGATGGCGTGAGTGTACACAATGGTCGTCAAACGAGTGAGCTCGTGATAGGAAAAGCGGAACCGCGTCACGCTGGCAACTACACCTGCGTGCCTGCTAATGCCAAGGCTGCATCAGTCACCGTACACGTTGTGCAAAGTAAGTATCATCATCAAAGTAAGTATACTTATATATTACTAGCTGACCCTGCAAACGTTGTTTTGCTATTTACATTATTTAATTATTATTTTTTTAATTTCTTAAAATCCGTTCTTACCTGACCTGTACTCGGTGAAAAGAATATTCCTACCAAATTTCAAGTCTTTAGCTCTAATTGTTCCAGAGATATCGTGATGAGTGACTATATACGTGGAAATCTCTTGTATATATATATATATATATATAGATAGATTTATGTAAAGAAAGCTGTATTCATGATATAAGTAATTTGGTGATATCAACATAATTATTTGTTTACTAAGAGCAGAAACCACGTACTGAAGCATTTAATACCTTTTGCCTTGTAGCATCTCGCTGGCGCTATCTGGTGAAGGTACTTGTATACAACAGGGGCATCTATACAGGGGGGTGGTCTACTCGTCTGTAGATGGCCCGAGGTATCTCGGGGCACCAGGGACTTCATTTCCAGGGTATACCTGGTTCACCGGCTATTAGTAACCGAGACGGCGTGCGGTTTTAGTCGGTTCGAGTCCGACATGCCACCGATAGGTGGTATCCGAGGGAATTTCCGCACGGAAAAAAAAAAGAAAAAAAAAGGGCATCTATACAAATCTAAAATTCTGATTTCGAATATGCTAATTTAGGAATCTAGTCTCAAAAAAAAAATATTCACTCAAAAAGTTTGTTCAAGTTACATTAATGTTAAACGTTTGCTACTCATTAATTTTTTACAAATTTGTGTTTATACCCTGAAATTCAAGCTAGGTAAAGCTGTATTTTAGAGATTAGTGTGCTGTGAAAAAAACCCTAACCTACTCGTTAGGGTTAAAACAATGTGAATGTATGAAAAACTGATAATTAGAGGGCGGTTATATGCGATTTCTCATGATGAAAGGGATACAGAGTGATTTCGAGATATTTAGGGATAACAGATTTTGTGATAGCCAATTATTTATAATTATAAGGTATGATTTTATTTTAGTAGCTAAAGTTAAACGTTGTAGTTGTTTATGGAGTTTAGAGATGTAGTCGTATCTTCTGTTTTTGTCAGTAGCTCAAGAGGACGGATATGTGTTTTATTAGTGTTAGTTATTGTTTTGATGGTCTTCCAAGCAGCTTTGAGATTGTTTTTATTTTTTAAGTTCATTCTTCTCATATGCTCTTTTACCTTACGTAAAAGAAGATTGCAATAATTACGATAGCGCTTATATGTCAATTTTAAAATTAGATTATTTGGGAATATGTAGATTTTTATGGAGTCTGTCCCTATTTTTTATGTATCGCAATAGCCCTATGGTACTCCAGAGTTTCAAAGTTTTGTTTGTTCTAGACACTGGAATTGATTTGGAGTGGTTATTAATTATAGTAAACATGATTGAGACTAGTGAATCTGTGACTAGGTAGCCATTAGGTAGGTTTGCGTCTTCTGTGAGGAGAATGTGACTAAAATCTGTATTTGCAATATCGCGCTGAATACTTGCCGTATCGATTTGAAATTTAAGGCGGCCATGACTTTTAGTATTATTTTAAAGCGGAAGGCAGAGTACTGTATGAAAATGATCAGCTATATCCAATTCTATTGCAAGTGTAGTCGATAGAAGTTTTAATTTAAATAAGACGTGATCGTAGCATTTACTCAAACTTGTGGCAAACACGTGTGTGCGTGATAGGCCATGACTGTCGTTTAAAAGTAGGTAACTATTAGATAAGTTGTCCTCGTTTTAGGCTTAATATCTATGTTGAGGTTTCCTAAAAGTGCAACATGATTGAAAGATTTTAAATCCACTAGGAAGTTTGTATGATGGTGATTTATAAATTCCTATAATTGCTATTTTATTGTTAAAATTGCAGGTCAAATAAGCAGCATGATTAAAAATGGGCTCGGTAACAGTATGTGACAGGGATGTTTTAACGTAGAAGATAACGCCTGCATTTTGGTTTAAGTGTCTCTTAGAAGAATAGTGGGAGTACCCTTCCAACGTGGGGATATTTGAACACTTCGGTAGCCAACACTCTGTCAATATTATGACGTCACGTTTCACTTTTATTTCTGTAATAACAGCATTAATTGGTCAAAGTTTTTGCTGACACTACAAATATTTAATTGAAAGGTATTTAGAGAGTTATATTGAATTGGTTCTAACAATCGATGAAATTCCTGAGGTTCACATTTAATAACTTAACTTTCTAAGGAAAGGCTTATGTTCAGCAGTGGACTATTAAAGGCTGTTGATGTTGATGTGTGACATTTAATAGAACTGGAACTGTTTAGTTCAGTACTGTCAAGTTCAGTATCAACTATAGAGGTAATTTTTGTAAAACAATAAAAAATGATGTTGGGCAAAAGGGGATCACTTAGTGATAAGCAATGAAAGAATTATATTTTACAAAGTTGTTTAGAACATTTTTATAAAATTAATTTTTAAAACATTTTATTGTTTACCACACATAGTACAAGGAGCAAGAATAAAAAATTATTAGTTGGCTAATGCAATGTGCGGCCTTATCGCACTGAGGCAATCTTTTCTAAGCAACTATGGAATCAACAAACGACCAATCAAGTTTTATCGATCGTGAACCATATTATGAAGGCTGATGTGGCCTTCTTCGTTTTACATATTTGAAATTAGATCTGAAAGTGACTACATTTGTTTTTTTAATATTTGTGAAAAAAAGTGCAAAACTGTATTTAAAGCGTTTCAATTCTATATTCTTTAAACCTGTTACGCCGATACCTATTTACGAGGATTCAATATGAGCTTATTTCAAGCCAGAAAATCTAGGTCTATGAATCTTCTTTAGCTTCCGATTGTATATGTTTGCTGTAAGATACGATGTTTGCTTTAACTCGGTTTATATTAAGCCTAAATGTGTATTTTAATTTATATTTCCTGTTGTTGATTTATATTTCCTTTCTTTCTTTCTTTCTTTCTTTGATATTTAAATTTTCATAAGTCAAGGCATCTGATTCCGCATTATTATAAATAGATCAATCATATCATTATCGTCATCAACAGCCTTTATAGTTCACTGCTGGGCATAGGCATTTCCATCATAATTTTATGGTGTTCCTTGGATTTTTTTTAATTTTTTAATGTTGTCTTCTGTATCTCTGATCCACCTGATGAAATAGTATGATTTTTTTACGGTAATCGGTAAGTGTTCAAGTGCAACAAATCAACTCACTTTAGAGTATGCCTGTTTTTGTTTAGGTTGAAAACAAAAAACAAACATACTTTATTAGTAAATCAAATTAAAGATAACAAAAAAATGCACTATCCATTGTTGTGTTCCAAGATGCCCAACTGTAGAATTTGTCATCTAAACTACATCTTCTTACAAAGTTTCATTTACATACAACTATTTACATAGTTAGTTTAAAGTAAAACCAACTAAAGTGGTTTAAAAATAAAAGAATTAAAACCTTTTATCATGCCAGCTTTTGTGTCTCTTTGGTATTGTTACGAGCTAAGAATTCGCTTAATAAAATAGGCGGTTAGTAACAAAATTAGCACTGTGTTTATAAGCACTCACTTACAAACGACAATTAAGTAAATGACGCCTTGGTCATACTAGAAGATCGCTTAGGTGTTAATCTGCTATCTCGTAAAACAATAAATTACGCTCCGCTTATATAAGGCTATCGAAATTACCAGAATAATCCCTAGAATTTGATAGAGCGTTCCAGATAAATCAATCAATCAATTAATACAATAAGGAACTTCTAGAGTTCCATTATCCTATTAGTTCCACACTCGATACTAAGGGCCGCAGCAAGTATCGGAATTATGAACCATAATTTTAACGCGTTGAGTTAAGATTATCCTTAAGATTTCATACGACTCTCGATTGTTCATGTAACTACTAACGAGTCAACACTAAAACCATTTAAAGCTATGGCGCAACACCATTGTAAAAATAATATTATCTGGGTGAATTTTTATAAGACTAATGTATTTCTGATATTTTAATCTAATGATAATTTAATAAGAATTCAATTTGATTGACCACTTTCATATAAATTTGTAGAATGTATATACTTTATTAAATCATCTTCATAATGTAATAACAAAGTAAAACATATCCAAAACTTCTAACATCAACAATTTATTCAATAACCCTCAACCCGAATCTTCTAAACTTGATTAAATACTTGGCATAAATGGTAAATGACAAAATTCATCTCATAAACATAATTTTGTTTCTGCTTCAAGTCCTTCACAAGATTTACGAGATGGAGAGACAAAGGCTAATGAATATAATGTAATAGACAAAAGGTGAAATGACATTTTCGCGATACAATACATTCGCAGAAACAAGTCCCTTTCCGGTATAATTGGATTTTATGTAAGGCCTTAATTCTTTAAGAGAGTCGTAAAAAGGTAAAAAATTAGCCAATTTTAACGTACACTCAATTCTTTGGAGAAAAATGAGGTACTTAATGACTACAAGTCTTTGTTTGTTATTCAATCCATGTAATTGTAATATCGTGAAGTTTTAAGGGACTTAAAGAGAATTACAAGACTTTACTAAAGTTAGTAATGGATTACTTGACTCTAAGTGGATATTTTAGTTAAAAAACGAAAGCTAGAAAGTTTAATACCCCAAAGGTTCAACAACTCAAAGAAAGCTGAGTGTGGAGTCGCTTTAATAAAGTGTTAACTACGTATGGAGAGACGAAACTTGCATAACAAATGTGTTTTCCTGAGCAAAATTACGGTGTCTCTGACGTAATATGTATTCATAATTAAGATGAAATAAAAGAGCGAGGTGTTGTATAATGTAAAACGTGCTTTGCAGTCATAATTTTATCTTAAACAGAATTGCTACATCAGGTTAATATTAATCTAATTTTACGTACTGCAATAATTTTAGTTTGTTGGTTTTTTGTAAAAGATAACTCCCGCACTAGAAACATATCTTGCATAGTGAGGTACTTTACAGATATACATGGAACGGACACAAGGAATACTCAGAGTCAGAACACCAATTTATGGATGACACAAAGTGTTGTCCCATGTGGGGATCGAGACTACAATATTCAGTGCAGTAGGAATCGGCGAAGTGACCACTGGAAACAATGTGCCAACTGTACAGTCGATCAATTATTTATATATTATTCAAAAACCTACATAGATTTGGTTGTGATGATTGATAATAATGAATATGAAAGGTCCTATAAGACTAGCGTGCATAATGTTGTACTTAAACACTGAAACAGTCACTGAAATTATGAGCTTTTAAAAAGTATCATTGACTTCAATTAGCCTACAAAACGATAACTTGTAATGTACTTTAAATGTATTCTTTAATCCTTAAAATTCCAGCTCTAAGGTATTTTTTTTTGCATTTGAATGGAAAATCAAGCATTAACCCTTCAAAATAAATGGAACACAAACACACATAAACACCGGAACAAATATTTACAGATTAAACAAACATTTGGTCCGACCCCGAAATCGAACCCGAGACCTCAGCATAGCAGTCGTATACGCTACCACTGCACCACCGAGGTAGTCATAATAAAGGCAGTCAAATAAGGTATTTTAAAGTGGCTCATAAGAGTTCTGAGGTCACAAACATCAAAAAATCAAGCTAAATTTAGAACTTACTCTTTTTCTTTTCTTCGTTGAACATTGAGAGTACAGGCACTGGAAATCGTTTTAAAATTATGCACGAAGTGTAACTACATTATATTATTAGAGCACTTGATTACTACTAGAAAAAAACCTTAATATAATTAAGTACACTTTTATATCGCTTTGTTTTATATCATTTACCATTACATAAATCTTGAATCTTCATTATATAGTTGTCCGTAACATCATTATTTAACAGAATCAAATACAAACTTTACTAACGAGCCAAACACTAGTGAAGTTTCTAAATAAAACTTGACTGATAGTAGTCCACTATACAAGACATACCTCAATTTAACTAAAATTATTTAGATCTTCTTAGAAATTCTTACTTAGATAACTTCTATTGCCCCTTTATGAAAATCCTGTTGTTCTCGTATTTTCCAAACATAAACCTACCATATACATCTAAAATCAGACAAAAATATCTGTTAATTCAATTATGAAAGTCGAACGTACTATCGCCGCCGCAAAGGCTACACTTATTCCAACTAAACTACTTACTAACACTAAAAAAACTACTCCAGCGTCCATTCTCTTATATAAGAATAGAAATAGACATAGTAGCTATAAACGCGGTAAAGTGAAAACAAAAATAAAACACACGCATCGCAAGCATTAATTTTACGAGGAACCTAATATGGCTGTTATCCGTAGGGTAGGCTGTTAACCTTCATATTCAACTACGATTAACCACACACAATATTTAGCTGAGCTTGTTCCAAGAAAAAAGAAATCAGTTTTTTTGTTTTTTTTTAGTATCTAATTAACTTTTCATTCAGTTTAAATTGCTTCCTGCCATTATCTTCAATAAATAAGCCATCTAACCATCTTATGATGAACCATCTTAATTGGTTTTTATTTCACTGTAATAGCACGCTCATTACAAGTACTCTCGTTAACCTATCCAGATGAGCTAAATTCTAGGTTAGGAGTGGGTTTAGGAGGGTAATTCAATAGGTGGGGTTCAAATCCGCAACCACTCAAAGTTCGACTTCTAAACAATTACAACTTAGAAATTTTAGGTTTCAAATTAAAGATTAATTTCTAATTAGTATATTAGTTAAGTTTAGTTATACAAGTAAGTATTATATACTTATGTAGTAGTAAATATTTTACCATATTTATACTTATTATACTACTAATTGTTTTTTTTTAAGATAAACTGGGTTCTCTGCTGGTATATGTTATGGTTAATCTGACATATGATTTGCGAATTTTTGTGTTAGACAGTAATGAACATAGGTATATTAATATTTAAAAACTTGTCTGATTTGTATGTATGTAAATTCCATCTTAGGTACATAATATTTGATATTCCATAATTTCATATCATAAATAAGAACGCCTCGATGATTTTGTACCACGGATACCCTTTTTGTATTTCAATAATATACCTAATACTTACTCCTATATGCATATATAAACACTTAAAATTAATCAGATCACTCTCATGAGTGTGTTTACGCTCATGCGTACAAGAGAGACATACAGAGCGTACTGACTGCTTTTATTTTAAAGATATAAAAAGAAATATCCTATAATACGCTATATCCAATATATATTAAACTCGGCCTTTTCGGTCTAGCATAGAAAGAAATTCTGTGTGAAGGCTTTGTACAGAGAGAGAGTTTTTTATTTATTTATAGGAATACCCAAATGAAATATCTACAAAATTTTATTAAGAAAATAATAAGAGCATGTTATTATTTTTTATACGAAATCCACTCTCAAAACTGACGGGCACCTATTTTTTTTGTCATTAGCTTTAAAAGTTAAATTTCGTCAATGTCACTTAAATAGGTTCGATCAAAAGGCCTTTGTTGTTACGAAGCTCTGTTCTTTAATCATTACATCGTAGTATAAATAGTTGTGGTACTAATTTCCGATTCATGTGATAGGTGAGGATGACCATTGTGTGGAGGAACGAGTGTCATGTCTCTCCAACACAAAGGGAGGATCCTCCAACCAGGCGAAGTGATCATGGCGGGCCGCGGCCCAACGGTTGATGTTGGGAAGTTGTTTGTTGTGTTGGAAGAGAATTCTTAATATCGCGATACAGGATTAGCAAATCTCATTCAGTAGTCCGTGTCTTCGTTAGATGGCGTTGTAGTGTTTCTGTTTTTTCGTATGTGAGAGTCGCCACAATTGTATAGTAATAAGGCAAAAATATCAAAGGTAACGAGGAAAATTAAAATTAATATATTCTTTTTTTGTTCTCAGGTGAGACTCCTGCAGCCATGCAACACGGCAATAATTTTTCGGCCACCACTCAACAGACTCATGCGCTAATATATTATGTGGTCGTTGTCCTCGTGACATTGAGGATGCTGATCACACATCACCAGGAATTTGGATAACGTCGCTTATAATACAATCATATTAGATATTGTTGTTATTAAGTCTGTGTAAACAATATTCTCTGATATTAATTATTTTCAGCTGTAGGTAGGAATATAATTGGAGATGTGGTAATTCATCATTAATTTTTATTACTTGATAAATAGGTTTTATTGGGTATAGAAAATTAAATTCTAATACCAGCATTTGGTAATTGCAAATTATATCATTCGTAATACTCGTATGTTAACAACTCATCAACTAAACTAAAAAAAACACATGTCAGTTCTAGATTTGTTTTATATTTGTTTTGAGTTAAATTGACTATACATATTTAAAGAATACAATTAAGCCTTTCAATTGACGTAATAGATATATTTAGGTAACAAATTAAATTATTGATTAACTAGCTTTTGGTTTTCAGTTAAGGAAAAGTAATTATTCCCTCAGACACACTTTTATTTTGGTTAACGATAACCTGTATCTTTATTTTAAATTTAAAATAAACAAATAAACATTGTTATTTTTTAAATGAGCATTATAATCGTTAATCTTCTTAGTTACATAACCTAACGGTTAATTTATAAAATTACCATTTTTTTTACATTTCATGTTCTACATGTAGGTGTGCTATATTATTTTAAATTTGTTTATAACTATAAAAGAGAACTATGATATGATGGTGAGGGACATCCCTGAAGTTAATCTTCTTAACGCTGTGATTAAAAAACGTAATAGTACCACTTCAGTATTTAGGTCTTAGACTTTGTACTAATTTGACTGCAAAACGAGCTCATTAAAATACTTAACAAAACCTTAACTAAAAATCAAATGTAAAAAATTAAGTCTCAGAAATGAAATCAGCAGCCAAAGTGACCGAAAAAATGACCATTTTCGTAGGTAGTCGTTCCGTGTAATAGGGTTCAGGCACAATACATTAAGATCGTTTGGGAATGTGACGGTCTCTTTGACAAAACGCTGCGTCAAAATTGGGGCAGGTTGGATTATTCACTTTTGTACACGTTTACTTAGGCATGTATTGTAGTCAACCTACAATAGCCAGAATTGGAGTAATGGGTTTTGGTTTGGTTATTTTTTATGTTGATTAATAGTGTTCTATAGATTTTTTATTTATTAGAAGAATAAAATGCTATCACTTTTTTACACTACTTTCCTTTAAATCCTTTTTTAAACAAACTCACCAGATATGAAAACGGAAAATAGACAAGAAGAAAGGGAGGATCAACGGGCGGTAACGCCCTTGTGACTCTCTTGTGAGGTACATGTGTCCAAGGGAGGCAGCGACGGTAGTCACTTACCATCAGATGAGCCATCTACTCTTTTGCATCCCTATATCATAAAAAGGAAAGTAAATGGAAGGAAAATAATATTTTTACGCATGGAGGTCAGCAATAGATTGAGAACGGCAGGTTAGCATTGACATCATACACATCATCAGCCTTTAATAGTCCACTCCTGGACATAGGCCTCTCCTTAGAAAGGAGGTATTGGCCAACTATACCGCACTGGACAAACGGGTTGGTATAAGGTTTATGTCAAGTTTTCCTTCCTTATGCAGTGCTGTAATTGTGAATAAACTACGCAGGACAGTAGTTTATTCCCTTAGTCGGCTCTTACGACTCCCACGGGATGAATAGGCGTGGTGACACTCTATATCCTTAATCCATCACCACACGCTGTAAGTCAATTTTTTTAATATGAGGTCGCTCGAGCCCACTAAGTACTTACCAAACTTTTATAATGACTATATTTTTTTACTAAAATTTCTACAAAGAAAAGCAAGCATACCAGTGTAGACTACAAAGATTGCGGGTTTTTTGGTAATAAAAGGCCACAATTAGTATTTCATGGCCACCAATTTCTCACCTAGTAAAGCTGGTAACTTAGATTTTTCTAGATAAAATTACCAAGACCTAACCTTTAAAATATGCGAGACACTGATATTTTTAGTTTACTAAATGATCGGAAAGTTTGAAGTATTGCTGGATTAAATACGATTAAAATGCCCTTGGGGTACGTGTCTAATAATAGGTCTTTACCTATGAAATTGCCGTTTTGTACGCAATAAGTGAAAGTACTTATTTTTTCAAACTTTTTTATTTCTGTTATTCGAAGTAATCACCCATGCAATCGACGCATCTTTGCCAACGCATTGGCAGTTTATTGATGCCCTTCTTGTAAAAATCAGCTGGACGGGAGGCAACCAACTCTTCAAAGGCATTTTGTACTGCCTCTCGGGAATTGAATTTTTCACCCACTAAAAAGTTGTCTAAATTTTGGAAAAAGTTATGAAAAGCGCTTAGTGGTGTAGTACTTTCTATGAGTTCGGTTCGATTCCCAGGCCGGGCAAAATTGTATGTTTTTTCTTGAGAGGACAAATAGCCTAAGTTACTCCTTATACATATAGACAGCTACTTGGTAGTAAAATAATATCAAAATCTTTGAAGACTACCAGTAACAAACAGATAGCCAAAAAGTATTTAAACTGGTTTTTATGCACAGATATCGTGCAAATAACCGCATGAAAACAGATATTATTTAGACATTACAAACAGACACTTCAATTTCATTTATTTGTCTAGATAATGTCTTATAAATATATTAAGTCAGCTTGAAATAAACTAAATAGATAAAGGATGAAATCGGATCGCTTGATTAATCATTGTGGTGCTTAACAAAAAAAAAACTGATAAATTTATAACAATGCACCATATACCAGTATTTAGTCTATATGTAAGTCATTAATTCATGACAATATGTCAATGGTTATTGCAGCAATTACACTATAAAGGTAGGTAAACTAATTATAAAATATGAGTAAAATTAAATACAAAATACAAGTTTAATAAAAACAGATGGGACAGTGGTAGCGTATATTGCAAATGTTTGTATGATCTGCAAATATTTGTTTCGGATTTTGGGTGTTTTCTATGTATAATATGTATTTATTTACAAAAAAAAAGTATGTAAGTATTCTATCACTGAATCTAGCTTTCATAGTACAAGCTCTGCTTAGTTTGAAACTAGATGGCGTTGTGTGTCAGATATCCTAAAATACTATTATTAATAATAATAATAATAATAATAATAATATTCTACCACATTCACACAACGCCATCTAGTCCCAAACTAAGCAGAGCTTGTACTATGGGTACTAGACAACTGATATAAATACATATATACTTTTTTTTTTGTAAATACATACATATTATACATAGACACACCCAGACCAAATTAAACATCAAATGTTCATGCACACAAATGTTTGAATTGAGCATGAATCGAACCCGCGACCTTTGGAATAGCAGTCCGTTACACAAACCACTACGCCATCCAGTCGTCAAAATAAAAAATCAACTAGTCGTCAGTCGTCGTTTTTTTAATTACATCTTACATTAGCGGAATATATGATCCTCAGCTTTTGAAAAAAATGTAATACATTAATGGTTTAAATAACTTGTTTTATTGAAAAAAGCTACTTTACAGATTAAACAGAGATCCTAAACTGGCTGAACTAAATCATTGTCATATAATTGTGAAGGTTAAAAACTTGTAATGCTAAATTTATTTAATAAAATTGCGTATAAAACGCTTCACACCAAAACTACATTAATTAAACTACATTTAAATTGTTAATAATTACACAAGAGCTAGTACATCTCCCTCAGAAATAGTTAAGTCCAGCCAAGTTTCTCAGAACTACTCTCAAGATAGCTCCTACTACACTTTATTAAGGGAACAAACTTCAAGTCTCGACGGTCACATACTGAGGCAAGGCAACGCTTTTAAGACCACGTCTTATACTACCGTATTTATATACTCGTAGTAGCTTTCTCCATGTTTAGGTAACTGTGGTGAGCTGGCGCACTGACGTTATATCTTATAAAATATTTTTTAAAATTTAACGGGAAATATTTTTGCTCTTGTTTTCAAGCTTTTAACGAAATTCAGTTTCTAAAACCTGTAATTACTTATATTATTGTGTTTTAAAGCTAAAATTGTACCTCGATGATTGATTAGGTATTTTAAATAAAGACTATATTTTTTATTATTTACTGTATGGTTTTCAAAGTTTTCCCTATACCTGCTTCTAGTATAAGACGATATTACTTGCAAAATTTTATAGTTCTAGTTCAACGGACAGTACCCTATGAATTTTGATTCCCTAGAGAGTCTCAAAGTATACGTTTTTGGCGGCATATTATCTTTTTTAAGTTAACCTAGAAGTTTGATTTTCACAGCTTCATGAAATCGTAGACTTGAGTATAATAATATGGTTTCAATTTGAAGTACAGAACCCTAAAAATTTGTTAGAATCTGGTAATTTTAATAATAAAGTAATCTTTTCAAAGTTCTATACATTCAACGGAGATTCCAATTTCAACAAGCTTTGAAATAAATAGCTTCAAGTTTCAAGCTTCATTCATCATATTCGAACATAAATAAAAAAAAAGTAGATTTTCCAGAGCAACCGCATGGCTGTATGCGCGTGCGTGAATGGATAATAAAAACTTTACTACATTTAATAATTTATTGGTGAGGTTTTAAACGGTAATGTTGGATGTTGCTTTTACGAGGCCACAGATACACCGTGTGTTTTAATCTCAAGTGCCTCGACCCTCAACATTCTGAGCGGTTCACACCAGCGCTGCTCTAAAACCCGTACGCAACAGTATTAAATGTTTATTGAGTAAATTGGGGGAGCTATATGATTAATATTTTAAAACAGACATACATAGCTTGAACGCATAGTATACATTTTAGTTTTCATTTAATGTATAGCACGAATAATAATTTTGTTTACAATTCTGTTCTGACAATCGAGTATAATTTAATATTTAATTATTTATTTTTATTTTAAGGTCGATTAGTCTCCTTTAACGGCGTAAGATAAAGCTCTAAGTAACCAAAGAATATATAATCAGGACAAAGAAAAAGAAATGTTTTCAATATAATGAAACCTCACGTCACTGATCTATGAACTAACGTTTTTACTAAT